GTCCCGGTGCCAAGGCATCTTTTAAATCCCCGCCCACACCCCCTGGCCCGGGAAAACCCCGTATAGTATAGCCTTAATGGCGAGGAGGTGGAGGACGCAAAAAAACAAAAATAAAATTCGTTAAGTGCAAAATTAAAACAGCATATGACCGAAACATTGTTATCTCTTTATTTTACACAATTCTATAATAAGAAAATAGAAATTACACAATATATGTACTAAACGTAACTATTAGCTAAATTGTTAGAATAATAAACTATCAACGAAAACCAAACAACTGACAATAAAGACATTTATTGTGTTTTTATTGTTGTTTGTTTTTTTTTTACTTTCACTCACCTATATATGAAATATTGCGATTGTGAAAATTTTCTAATCTGAGTTTTCAACGAAAATACATGTTTAGAGGTCTCCTGAGTCCAAATAACCAAGTCTCGCAAAATGGTCTGTGTGTGACAGGTCTAGCCCAAAAACGAAAAGTCTTATGAAAGTGAAATTGCATATTTAAGGTTTGTATACACATGAGAAGCAGCAACTATTTCGTCAAAATCGGCTAACCGGAAGTAGCACTTTGTTTCATCAATGAAACACATTTTTACTATTTTCTCGAAAAAGGCTACAACGATTTTGATTAAATTCAGAATATCAGTGTAAAATTAAGAAGTTTTTAATATTAAGTAAGTTTTATTCTCATTGATGTTTCCTAATATGGCTTAATGGCTAATTTTCAATATTGGCTTCCTCTAAACTATCTTATTTTTTTTTTATTCGAAACAATTAATCATTTCACATTGATCTCTAATAAAAAAAATAGTTAAATATAAAATATGAAAGAATTTGATAATGATTATATTTGATAATTTGATAAGTAATAATATAACAAGGAATTGAATTAGTTCGGTTTATGATAGAAATATATGAGTAACTTAGAGCTTTGTTAAATCTGACTTGTATAAATTTATTTTATTTATTTATTTGTTGAATATTATTATTCGACCTCTTCCCGATAGGGTCTAGGCAATCCTTTTTCACATATATGTTTTTATACTTTGTTGTAAAATCCCGTTATTTTCCAGAAAACCATTAGGGCTTCCACATATCTTTCTGTATCCTGTAGTATTTCTTGTATTTTATAAATTATATCATACATAACCAGAAAGATAAAAAGAATAATAATAAACCGATTGGCGTTGTAAATTGAAAAAGCAAGCTGATTTATCGGCATACCCACTATGGAAAAAAGATAAAAGTAGTTCGATACTATAAAAATGTGACACTTGGTATCTCCAGATAGTCATACGACCTCCTTAATATAAATACTTCCTCTTTCCCCATTGGTTTTTAGTCCAGACATATTTAGGTAGAAACGTAATTTAAAAAGGAACTCAATGAACCTGTTTATTGATGTTCAACACTTTACAGAAGTCATAACGTTTTTCTGAGAAACTTAAATGATGACAATGAATGGTATTAATCTTAATATTGAAAGGGATAACAAAAGAGGAACGACTGGAATATGACAATGGTCTATGCCAAATGACAGGTTTATATAATTGAAAAAAAAAATACAAATAAATAGGCAAACTCGGTGCTGAGGGTACTGATGGTACCGAAAATCTATCCGATCGTTCCTAAACTCATTGATAGAATTCAACATGGTTCTTTATTCATAGACGGTTGATTCCATGGAAAATCGGTTCCACCTTCTATTAGGTGAAGATCCGCTTGATAAAACCTGAGAGTAGTTATTTCTCAATTTACTTGAGATATTTATATTCAGTTTACTTACAAGCTATATTTATTTTTGTTTTGAAATTCTGTAGTTAAGTATTTCCTAATATATTTTTTTCATATGTTTTTTACATTTCACAAAAACCCAACATGTACCTTAGCTTAGCATTTTTTTTTTTTTTTTTTTTTTTTTGCGGTGTGAGGTTTATTTGGGTAGGGGTGATTTATTTATTATTTTTTCAATAACAGTAATTACTGTGGTAGAAAAAGAGAGCAACTACATAACATGATATGTGGTTTTAGAGGGGAAAAATGATAATTATATGAACAATAATATTTTTATGGATAATTTTTTTATATATCTTTTATTTATATTTTATATATATATGCCTTATAACTTAACAAAAAGAGTACATATATTGTGATTTATAGTATTAAGCTCATATCGGCCACAGAAAAAATATGGTCAGAGAAGGCAAAAAAATATAAAAAAGATAACTATACAGTCAAAGGGATTCACAATGGTATCACTGTTCAGAAACCTTGATAATCGAGGGAATATCAGATGAACTTCAAGGATGGGAAACAGAAAGCCTTCTAGAAACATTTCCTAAATGACTTTTTTTTTTCTATAACAAATCTTATCTTGATACCAGTTTAACTTTCATTGATTATGAGAATTTATATTCTGAACACACATACATCAATACTTATGTCAAAGTTAAATAACCATGCTATTTAAATAATATTTTTGTTTTTTCATTAAAACTATATGTGCAAAATAAAACAAATTTAATGCTAAACAGGGCATGAAATAAAAATATAATGTGATGGGAAGTTTTGAACAAATTTAAATAGATATTTCCGTAACTGCTAAGAGTCAGCTGACTTTGTAAAAAAAAAAGAGGAAAAAATATAAACACCATTACTTATCACTGAAGAAATCTATAAGAGAAATCAAAATTACTTAAATGACAGAACTCAAATGAAAAAACAAAAAATCTTTAAAAAGTAGATTGAATAATGCAAAAACGATGAAACATAACCAATACATCAAAATGAAAAAAAAAAAATACAATGAACTGATAATTATTTTTGTTCTGTTCATTATACCTAGATTTGGTGACTTGAGTTTTCATTTTTGTAAATTAAGGTTTTTAAAAATGAAACAGTCCCTCCATATATGACGAAGAGGAAACCCTAATATATTAGGACAGTTTAATTCATCTCAGATTAAAGAAAATGGTATTGAGAATATGGACATTTATTTGGAGGACTCAATTAAAACCTGAAAATGGCCCTAGTGTTGGTCGAAACATTGTCAAGATAAAATAAAAAATACATAAAATGTTGGTGGAATATGAATGTTGCCTTAATTTATAAAAAAATAAATAATAATTGCATATGAAAAAGAAGTTAAAAGAACATCGAAAAGAGTTTAAAGGCAAAAAAAATTATTTATTTGTAAATCAACAATCACATTATAATTAACTCAGTACAGCTTATTTCAAAAATTAATTTATTATTGATTGTATGATAAAATGGAACTTTAAAAAAAAAAACTAACACTAAGGGAATTTATTATTTTTGTATATATACAGGCATCCTTCGGTTTGTTCTCTATTACAACAGAAATCCATTGTATTATATCCTTAATCAGTTTTAAAGATAGCACTTGTTTTTGAATCTTTAAAAGGAAATCAAAGGTTTTTTGTATCAGTATGATGATAAAATTATGACTTTAATATCCAATAAATTCTATAACATAATATAATCAAACGCAATGTAATGACAAATTCTCACAGAGAGGTAGTAATCTGTAATTTCTTTCAGTAATTATTCCAGATTATAACAACCACTATCTTATATGATAAATATTATTAAAAAAATTATCAGAATGTTTCGTAACTGAAGTATATATGGGTTTATGGAGATATGTACTCATTTGCACATTACACGTTATAATAGATAATATATATACATTGTTTTACATTTTTATCACGAATATAAAGAATCATGTCGACTATTATATAATCAAAGGCAGCAGATCCTCAGTTAAAAAATAGGCTAAATTTATCACAGGTTTTATCACTGCACGGAATGGAAACCATAAAATATAGAAATCTATAGATAAGGTATTTATATATATTTTTCATAAACTTAATTTGGAACTAATCATGATTGCAGAGATAATATTTACGTAATGGAAATTCTTTAGATGCCACAAAAATAATACATACATTATTATGAGTTACACATAGTCTATTAAAAGATTTAAAACTTCTTGCATAGATGCAATATATATATATATATAATTTTTTTGAGATTCCAATTCTGTAACAATTCAGATACCATAAAAACACAATGGGCTAATCAATGCAATATGTAACAAACAAACACGAAGACAAGACAATACAGAGGAACTGTAGAACAATAAATATTCCAGTGGTGAGCCTGGTATCTAAAGGGATCTGGATGCTGGGACAAGGAAGGTTGCGTCCATTAAGGTTACAATCCACAAGTCCAGTCGAGGTCAACAATTTCTCTCTCTCCTGGAATTCACGCTATTCCAGTAATATTTTACAATCTATATATCAATTTAACGCGTTTATGTACTTCTCAATGTTTACTCGTTCTAAAGAATGTCAATAACAAGGTTAATTTGTTCTATATATGTATTTATTTTCTTTTAGTATTCATGAGGGTTTAAGGATAATAGGTGATTCTAATAACAATGTGTCGGTTTATTTTATTCACACAGGGATTAGTTATTATTCAATGAAATTGTAAATTTGATGTAAATTAATGAGGTATTTTTACTGAATTGAAATATTTATTCTGATAAGTTAATTTTTTTAATTCGTAATATTTTGATCTGAACCTTTCAATGTTTTAGATGTTACGTTAGTAGTAATTTAAACATTAAAAACCAATGCTCTATTGTTGACATATATTTGATTACTGAAATCGAATCTATATGTCAACTGAAAATTTTAACAGGGGCGACTGATAAAAGTTAGTATTTAGGTCTTTAAGTATTAATTTATGTGAGATTGTTGCTACTATGGAATAAGATAAGAAATACTTTTTCGAAACTTATATGAAAAGTATTTATAAACATTAGTAGATTAATGCCGTTTATCGGATAAGAGTGATATAAGATTACGCAGGAAGAAAACCTGCCAAAGAGACTGTATTTATATCCAAAACTTGTATGCGATTTTTAAAAACTACTTAGTACTCAATAAACTTATTATCTTTCTACTCACCAGAACTTTTGTGAACCTCCTCTCAAGCTCGGACTGATCCGCCGGCATGGGTAGCTTAGCCCTGATGCTGGCCCGAATGTTGGGACTCCGGTACAGGTCCACCGGAGGCGGCGTGGACTGCACTTCCCCCTTGGTGCCGCTTCCAGTATTCCCCATTGCGGGCAGCTTAACTTGTGGCACAACACTCGCGTAACCCGGTCTCGGAAGACGAACGCTAGGCTCGCACTCACATCCTACCACGGACGTCGCTGGACGTCGAATGGGGTCCAAGTTGCTGTCTGGCAATCCAGCCGCGCATGCGCTCATCCCTCACTCCTTCGTCTGCTAGATTAGTGAACCTACTCCTGATGAGTTTATATAATGGCATTATTCTGTGAAATGTTAACTTATATTTGTACATCAAAATTAAAAGGGCGAATGAAAGAAGTACATTGTATGATATAATAAAATACTGTTGGTATGGTATATTATATTAATATCTCTTAAAAGGGGATACATTATTTATTTTGGGGGTTATTTTTTTCATTATTATTAATTTTAATTTCTTTCTTTTATGATGGTAATTATTGTAAAAGAAATTATATAAAGTTATATTTAAGTGGTTCTAGAATGCCACAAAAAAAGTAAATAAGAAATAATTATAGGAATAATGCTTTTAGGGTAATCTTTAAAATATATTTTCTTGTCAGGGTCTTACAATTAGCACCTTTATATGCGTTATAATTTTAAAATAGTACCTAGGATCTAAAATTATTTAGATCGGATTTTTTCCAATATCTTCCTCACCTTTTAGGCTATACTGGAATTTTCCTGGTCCAGGAGAGAGAGCGGGGAATTTTGATAAGTTTATGAACAGAGGGAACCCATTTTTATGAGGTTTAATAAAGGGGAACTTCAAATACATACAATCAATGAGGATATAACAGTAACTATAAGATCTGCATTTTCCTCATTATACTTTTGCTTGCTCTGTTTTTAAGAAGAGAAGAGTAATACAATTTCTTGGAAAGGGGGGCATGCGTCATTGACATTTGGAACGATGTGCACTCCTACTGTGGCCTGTGCCAAGTTCCATTGCTCTATGGTTTGAATGTCATCCGAATTAATATCCTGCATAAATAAGGTTCTCTATTAACCACGTAAAAATGTGACCCTCTCTCTAAGCTACCCTCTTCTAGGCACCCCTTACCCATTCTAAGCACAACTAACCCATTTGCTGTTTGATTCTTGGGCCCCTAGACCAGGGAACTGTACCTTACATTTTCAGTATCTGATTTGCTTACTTGGATATTTTCTATTTAAAAAAATCTTTTATTATGAGATGTCTTAAAAATATAATATTTGTTTTTCCTTTAGTGAACACATAAAAAAAATATATAGGTATTTCAATTAATTTAATTTTTAAAATACAATATTTAATTAATTACTTTAAATAAAAGATTTTAGTATTGTGGTCTCTCTATCTAAATATAAAATATGAATTATGATAAATTCAGAATAAATATTTTTCGATCTTTATGTTAATACTTCAGCCCATGTTTTGTGTAATTACAGTGCATATTTGGTTAAAAATAGATCATAAATTATTTACTTTAATAAATAAATATTTACCTTTTAAAATTTAATTAAAAATTCCCAGTCGAGATTTTTTTTGTTGTTAAGAATTGAAATATTAAAAAAAATTAAATATTTGTAAACGGTAATGTAAACAAATAAAAACATTATTAATTTTTCAACGTTAATCAACATACCACTAATTGTTTTTCACTCTTCCTAAGCTTAGCCCTGAATAAATAGTGAAGGTATAAGTAAAATTTACATTTTTTTTCCGATTGGTTTGTTAATATTTGTTTCATCATCATGAAAATATTATTTGACTCTTCTAAGCAATGAATTATGTTTCATGAATATCATTATAACTACAGCAAAAAGCACCTTCTTAAGCAGCTAACAACTACTTAGAACAGGTCAGAGGGCTAACTGCCTTTCCCTCGGTGTTAGTAGGGTTGAAGGGAACACTCCCTTCACAGATGGTCTGTCCCTCACCCTCGTAAACTGGAGGAACAGAAATAAGTAAAAAAAGAAAAAAAATAGGAGGCTATTAAAGTTATCTAAATAACCAACATTTTAATATTTTCAACATAATAATCACAACCACTGTTCTTAGTGATTCATTGTCTTGTGTCTATATGTTATTTCAACATTTTAAGCTAATATTTTGACAGTACAGATTCATTTAAACAAATATATCGATAGCCACGCTACAAAATCCTATAACAACAAAAGCTAAAAATTTTCAAGTGACGTAAAAAACTGCGTATTTTTTGTTTTATGAGCATTGTATTTTCGGCTCAATTTTTTTCCAGGCCTAAGACAAAGATGTAATGCTCTATGTAGCTTTTATCGTATTTTTCTCAAATAATCTTTAAGAGCCACTAAGTTCTAACTTATAGCTTTCTTTAGTTACTTTGAAAAACAGGTATCGGTTAGATAAAATCAATCAAATCTATTGTTGTAACACCCATAGTTTTGTTAATAATGATCCAAGCATGCCAGAAACAAAGTCTGCTTCAAAAAGGTAGAGAAACGTTACTTCAAATGAAAATTTGTAAAAAATTTGACTGGAAAGCGAGAATTAGATCACACGGGTTATTCACTTGGTTGTCTCCCACCGTATACATGCATATAAAATAATATTTTATTATGTTAGTGCATATTTTTCTGCTATACGAAATAAATTATTTCCAACAATAGTTTTGTCTTTTTTTTTACAACATGTCCACTGACTGTATCACAGGAGTGAGTTAAAATTTAAAATAAAAATATAATTATGTTTTTTTCTTATTTTAAGCCTATGAAAGCCGTAAAGCCCAGAAGCCACGAGAATTAAAGAGAGAACTTTTTTTTTTTGTATAAAATGGTAATTCGGATGTAAAGGACAACAGATTCCAACCTAGATAGAGGAGGTTTCGTCTGTTCTTGAAATTCAAAATAAAGAAAACATTTTATTTTCCTCTCACAGCTGGAGTCAAATAGGACTATAGGCCCAGTTTTGAATTCGAGATTAAGATTTTATCAAACCGTTTTTGTTCGATAATTAGAATTGCCTAATAACTTATTCAATTTGATGGAATAATTGGCCTGCTCGCCGATATGAATCATGTAGAAATGCGAAATACCCACTTAAATTCACAATTGACATAGAATTATAATCAGTCTTCTCTTGATGTAGATAGCGCAGTCAATGAGTCAGATTAAGAACCAGTTGATATTATTTAAATTTATTAATAGAACCGGCTTAGGAGATTAGCAAATCCATTAAGTCAGTGTTAAGGATTAAATTATCAAAGTTGCAGATCACATTTTATAAGCTTTATTTTTATTTAATCATATATCCAAAAATATCTTCAGCTTATCAAAAGTTTGAATAAAGATTATGTTAAAGAACTAAATATAAAAAATATGATAAGTAAAATCCTCAAGAAAAGAATACTAAAAAAACATATCCATTTATAGAAATAATAAAATAATGGCAATAGGGAAAAAAATTAAAAATTTTACACTTACTATCTTTACATTCTTTTAATGTATAATATGATATACAGTCATACAAAAGATGATCCTCTTTTATTGGCATTTATCATCAAAAAATTTGAGTGTGATAATTGTCCTATCAACAATTCGTAGTTATATATATATATATATTTACTAGAACTACTTCATATATATGTGTGTGTGTGTGTGTGTGTGTGTGGTGTGTGTGTGTGTGTGTGTGTGTGTGTGTGTGTGTGTGTGTGTGTGGTGTGTGTGTGTACATACTAATATTTCAAGATGATGTTATTCTAATATACGAACTAATTTACTGTCCAGAATAGGTTTGTAAAATGCTATAATAAAATAAAGATTAAACCTGAAGTTACAAAAGGGAAAAACATCTCAACATTTTAAAATAATGTGTTACATTAGGTGTTTGTACCAAAGGTAGTGTAATTACATACCAATAGAATTTGGAGTGCATAATTCCATGGCTTACACACGATAATTACACCTGCAGTAATAACATCATGACTGCAGTAAAATTAAAATGGATAGACGACATAGACTCAGATGACATTAATAGTTATGGAAGTTTTGTACAATACAAGTAGTCAAATTCTATCATTTTTGTTCGTTTTCTGTTGAGTTCTGACCAACATATATATATATATATATAAAAAAATGTTAATACTCTTTTCTCGGACTAGTCTTATATTAACTTTCTATTTTCCTCTATAGAGCTCTACTATATTTCAGGAACAAACTGAAGGCGGAAAAAAACATTAAATTGAACAATCAATAAACAATTTTTAATCGTTTGTTTATTTAGGCTTTAAGACGTAAAACCTTTAATTTTTTATTGTTGAATTTTTAATCGTATTATTTTTCCATAATTATAAAACCGCGTTCAAGTAAAATTCTTATACAAATTTTCAATAATAAACTGTATAAATAACTAATGAGGAGGCCTAGACATGTTAAGGGGTTGTTGCGCCAACTATGTATGTATGTATAAATAACTAAACCAGAAAAAAAATGTATGGTAAAAATACTATTGTAAATACACTTAAATATTCTGTATCTTTACTTCAATACAAAAATGACTAAAATCTGGAATGGTACTAAAGGTTATACACTAACGGATGCAGGATTTAATTTTTTTTTTTGGAGAGGAGTGGTCTTCAGCCCGAAACATTTTTTTTGTTTGTATATTAAAATAATTACTTTGGAAGAAAGAAAGAAACTAACTACCTATATGAAATGGTATTTAAGTGATTCTTAAAGTTCTATTAAATGTAATTAGACAAACAATAATACATTGAGATATAATTTTTTTCATGGTTATATTTTATCTTTTGGGAGGGGGAAGGCTTCAGCATGGAAGGCTCCCTGCAGATCCGCCTGTGTTTATAAAAAACTCGTAAATATTTTTGCTTTCCGCTTGAATCGTAAGATAATTTGATAACATAATCGACAAAAAGAGGTGGCCTACAAAAATATTGGGCCGTTTGGCCTGTGTAATCTCGTTATTTTGACAATTTGAGAGTGTAGGTCACGCCAAACGGCTCAAATTTTTCAAGGCCATCTTTTCTCCCAACTTTGTGCTCAAGTTATCTTACGATCCAAGTGGAAAGCAAATGGGTATTTACGAGTTTTTAGTACCTAATTAAATAGACAAAGTTTGCCGACCTCCAGATTGAAAACGACCCAATTC